AAGGAATGGAAATAAAATTAATTCTAAACATCAAAAATCCTAATTTAAAAACTTTATCGCGGAGGATGAGACAGAGAGAAAATAAAAAAAACAGCAGAAGCAAAGCGTTGTTTTAACTCAAGAAATAATCTCCGTAGGCAAAATGAACAAAACGATTCTTAAGGCCTAAATCTTAACAATATACAATCACCAAGAATATTACCAATTCAAGTTTCTATCCAGACGGAGAAAATACACACAAATCATGCATCCTTTCATTAACCAAACATTTTGACAAACTTCAGAATTGTCAAAAAGTCGTGTTCTGCCTAACTCGCCTTCAGAGTTTGTTTGTTTGTTTTTGTTGTTTTTTTGCTTGTGGACTTAGAGAGAAGTTTAAGAAGTTTAAGCTTCTTATTGCAACTTTGTTTTGTAAACACATACTGTATTTAAACGGTCCAAGAATGTATGATTTATTTCCTAATTTAGTCCTATGACAAACACGCATACACAAATAAACAAACGCATCCACACAAACAAACACACACAAACAACCACACAAACAAACGAACACACAAACAAACACACAAGCGAACACAAAAAAACACACGATCACACACACATAAACACACAAACAAACACTTAAAAACACACACACACAAACAAACACAAAAACAAACAAACAAACGAACACAAAAAACACACACACAAAAACAAACACACAAACGAACACAAAAACACACACAAACAAACACACACACAACCACACACGCAAACAAACACAAAACACACAAATACGAACCAACACACAATAAAAAGAGCCCCTTCCCCTGCCTTATAGCCTCACGCGACGTATGGGAAACTAATCTATTTTTTCTCTTTTTTTTCTTATTAAAAGATGTCCCATTCACAACATAGCTAAGATTCTCTATTTTTTTTATTCTTGGTTTCATATTCTGTTCTGTCCTTGGTTTGAAATCACCGTTGGGTGGTAGAAGAGAGAAAGAAATAACGAAGGAATAAGGAGATGATGGAGAAGGAAAGAAGGAAGAAGGAGGAGGAGAAAGAAATAACGAAGGAATAAGGAGAAGGAGGAGAAGGAAAGAAGGAGGAGGAGAAGTAAGGAAGGGAGGAATAAGGAGGATGAAAAGTAAGAGGAGGAAGGAGAAGAAAATGAGGAGGAGGAGACTGAGGAGGCGAAAGAGGAAGAGGAGGAGGGAGATGAAAAGAAGGAGGAAAAGGAAGGAGATGGAAAGCAAGTAGAAAGAGAAGGAGAAGGAGAAGTAAGAGGAAGAAATTGAAGAGGAGGAGATGGAGAAGGTGGAGGAGGAGGAAGGAAAAGGAGATGAAAAGTAAAAAGAGGGAGAAGGGAAAGACGAAAAAATAAAATGAGAGAAGAGATAGAGGTTGAAGAGAAGGAAGGAAAGGAAAAGAAGGAGAGGTAGTAGGTAGAAGGAAGAAGAAGCGGACAAAAAGGAGAAATAAAGGGAGAAGGAAGGCCATGAGATACAGAAGTCGAAGGAAGAGCAGAAGAGCGAGAAGAAGGAAGAGGAAGAAGGAGAAGAACAAGAGAAGAAGGAAGAGGAAGAAGAACAAGAGAAGAAGAAAAAAGAGGAAAAGAGCGAAAAGAAGAGGGAAGAGGAAGGAGAAGAGAAGAAGAAGAAAGATACGAAGAAGGAAAGAAAGAAAATATATATATGAAGACAGATAAGAGACGTTTATTTATCTACGTGTATCTTTGTAAGACATAAATCTAATCACCAATTATATGTATTTCTCTTTCTCTCTATCTATTTTCTTAATAACAACTCTTCTAACCAGTTGTCTATCTATCTATCTATTTTTCTATCTATCTACATGTGTGTGAGAAATACTGAAAGCAATATCATTTTTTCCACCATAAAAAAAACTTTTCCCATCATTAAAAAAAACAATAAATTTACCTCTCTCTCACCTTTTTAAAAAATACAACATTCTCCACCTTAGATAATAAATAAATAGATAAATATAGAAAGTTTTAAAATGAAGCCCAAACTCACCAACGAGAATGGCTCTCTCAATTCGAGTTTTTAATACAACATTCTCCACCATAAAATAATAATAACAATAAAAAAAAAAAAAATGAAGCCTGAACTCACCAACGAGAACGTATCTTTTAACTCGTTTTTTAAATACAACATTCTACACCATAAAAAAATAATAATGATAAAAAAAACGGAAAAAAGAAGCCTGAAATCCCCAACGAGAATGGCTCTTTTAACTTGTTTTTAATACAACATTCTCCACTACTAAAAAAAAGACAAAAACAAAAAAAAATAGACAAAATAAAGCCTGAACTCACCAACGAGAATGTCTCTTTTAATTCGTTTTTAATACAACATTCTACACCATTAAAAACAAAAAAAACCCGGAAAAAATGAAGCCTGAACTCCCCAACGAGAATGTCTCTTTTTTAAATACAACATTCTCCACCACAAAAAAAAAAAAAAAAAAAAACGGAAAAAATTAAGCTTGAACTCAC